GGAAGAGTCAAGAACAGAATAAAAGTATAAGAACAGAGGATCTGGGTGGTCAGTCTATGATCAAAATAATTACAATGTGAAAGAAGGTAAACACAGAGGAACAGAGATCCAGGTGGTGAGGTCAGGTAGATTACAGGATAGATTGTCTTAAATTGTCTTAAATTGAGGGAAGAGTTAATGGAATATAACGTAACCACAACCGTGGGGCTGGGGTAGGGTTTTAGTTTGGATGTTGGGGAGGGCAATACAAGAAGTGGTGAGGAGGCAGAAGAACAAGATAGATAGGGGAACACTGAGACAGGTTTGCATGGGCTAAGTGGGACAGAGGTAAATAGTGATGCATGCTCAACTTTGGAACAACAGGGCTCTGTGATGCAGGGATGTAGGCATAGTTTGAAGAGGGGAAATAATACTAAAGTGCTTGACGGTCTTATGAATATTGGTTTCCCTTGCCTACTATTGTAAAATAGACACTTGAGTGGGATAGAAAGAAATGTTGGGAAACATGATTAGAGAAAACTTGTAAGCCTGTCTTTAGCCTATAACTGATTGAAATGCCTAAAATGGGTTCTAGAACTTGCCCAGTGAAATAGGCCTCTTACAAAGCCTTTGCAGAGTATAGGAATGATACTTAGTCCCATCCAGAACCTTCTGAGGTGGGACAAGCCCACTAGCAATGACAAGCAGACCAGCTTGGAACAGCTAGAGCGTTAGAAGACACATCTTCAAAGAACGATCATCAACAAAAACCCAAAACAAAAATGTCATCATGAGTGACTACTACAAGAATAAGCAAGCTATTTGCCGGGAAGCCATCAAGGCAAGCAATCAAGTTCCTTCAGGATAAACTGCCCTCTAAAACTGAAACTCAAAGGGAACACATGAACAGGCATTTAAGGTTCTGGTGACCACATTGGTCTACTGGTGAGTGGAAGGGGGGAAAAGGCAGCAATGAAGAAATGGGCTGAGTTCAACCACAGTCCATTGACTCCAGTTGACCTGGAGATGAGAGAGAGAAGAGGAAGGGCTGGTTGCTCCAAAGTGTGGTGAGACCTGGGGACACTTGAGCCCATAGACCAGGATGTAGCCACAGAGGGCTAGAGCTGAGAATGAAGCATCCAGCTGACATGAAGTGAGGGGAGATGCACAAGAACACC